TTTGGCCTGTCACAAAGTAACACAGGTCCCATGGTTTCCCTTATTTGGAATATCTAGTATATGTATGAGTCAAGTGGAAAAAGTCAGATAATGTGATATTAGGAAAATGAATCCTTAGATAGGTATTTTAATGTTTTTTTTTCTTTCATGCATGTGTTTCTAACGCATTTATAACTTTATTTCTTTGTTGCTTTGTATGTCCCTCCCCCACAGTATAACCTCTGCTTTCACTATATTTGATGTCAGTATAACTTGTGGAGGAGATGGGGAAAAACAAGTCATTTAAGGATTCAGGTGGACCTGTTGCAACAATGAGAAGTACAAATTGTCATGTCAAAAAGGAGCTTTACAATGTCAGTGGGGGGGGAAGGATTGGGTGGGGGGGGAGGGGAGAGGCTGAGAAGGAAGGTGAAGGGTAAACAAAGGAGGAGGCTGCAATGCTTGGTAAGAAATGTATGCATTATCCTGCCCATGTAATTGTAACCCCTCTGTACAGTATGTTCACAAATAAAATAAAATAAAAAAAAAAAAAAAGAAAATTTTGGCCTGTGCCAAGGAGCCCTAGTGTTTCTCCTGTTTCTTCCTGTAATGTTTTCAGAGTGTCTGCTTTGACTTCGAGGTCTTTGATCCATTTGGAGTTGATTCTGGTGTAGGGTGATTTATAAGGATGTAGCTTTAGTTTTCTACAGGTGTTTAACCAATTTTGCCAACAGCATTTACTGAAGAGGCTATCTTTCTTCCATTCTATTTTTTTGGCTCCCTTATCGAAGATTCAGTGGCTTTGGGTCTACATGTTCATTTCTGGGTCTTCAGTTCTATTCCATTGTTCCTCAGGTCTGATTTTGTACCAGTACGAAGTTGTTTTGTTGTTTTGATTACTATGGCTTTGTCGTAGAGTTTGAAATTTGATATTGCTATTCCTCCAGCACTTTTCTTTCTGCTAAATATTGTTTCTTGGGGTCTTTTACTGTTTCATATGAATATTTGGATTGCTTTTTTTATTTCATTGAAGAATGAGATTGGGATATTGATAGATATTGCATTGAATTTGTAGATGTATTTGGATATATTTTCATTTTCATGATGTTAATCTTCCTATCCAGGAGCATGAAAGTTTTTTTGCCTTTTTTTTTTTGTCATTTGTGGCTTGAACTCTGGGCCTGGGCGCTGTCCCTCAACTCTTGAGCTCAAGGCAAGTGCTCTACCACTTGAGCTACAGCTCCACTTCCGGTTTTCTAGTGGTTTATTGGAGATAGGAGCCTCACGTTCTTTCTTGCCCGGGCTGACTTTGAACCTCGATCTTTAGATCTCAGCGTCCTGAGTAGCTAGGATTATAGGCGTGAGCCTCCAGTGCTGGCTTAGGGGAGGTTTTTTTTCTTCCATAGTTCTGCTTTAATTTTCTTTTTTTAATTTAGTTTTTTTTTGTGTGTGAAAATACTGTACAGAGGGGTTACAATTACACGGGCAAGATAATGAGTACATTTCTTTTTTTTATTGTGAAAATACTGTACAGAGGGGTTACAATTACATGGGCAAGATAATGAGTACATTTCTTATCAAGCATTGTAGCCTCCTTTGTTTCCCTTTCCCATCCCTTCCCATCCTCCCCTGACCCCCCCCCCCCACTGAATCCTCCTCCCTTCTTCCCCCCTCACCAAAGTTGTAAAGTTAGTTTTTTGACATAACGACTTGTACGTTTTTATAATTAATTATAGTTAATTCCTAGGTATTTTTTTTTGTGGGGCTATTACGAAAGGAGTTGCTTTCCTGATTTCATCCACACTTTTCTCATTATTGGCATATAGGGAAGCCATTGATTTTTGAAGGTCAATTTTATACTCTGCTACTTTGCCAAAGTTTCAGATCAGCTGGAGTAACTTGGGAGGAGTCCATAGGGTTCTTTAAATGCAAGATCATGTCATCTACAAAGAGGGAGAGTTTTACTTCATCTTTCCTTATTTGGATCCCCTTTATGTTTGCATCTTATGAGACAGTTTCTTTAAAAAAAAAAAAAAAGACTTAAAGACATAGCCAGGTCCTGGTGGTTCACAACTGTAATCCTAGCTTCTCAGGAGGTTGATATCTGAGGATCTTAGTTTCAAGCTAGCCTGGGCAGGAAACTCGGTGAGACTCCTATCTCCAACAAAGTGCTCAAAAAAAACCCCTGGAATTGGTGCTGTGGCTCAAGTGGTAGTGTGCTTACCTTGAGCAAAAGAAGCTCAGAGACAATGCTCAGGCCCAGAGTTCAAGCCCCAGGTAGACCAAAAATATAAAATAAAATAAAGACATAGTAGATCTTTTTTTAAAAAACAGTCAAAATTTTCATAAAACTATGTTGTTGAGTTCTATGTTTTAGGTTATTCCAAAATCTGAAAATATTGAACTTCAATTCCCCAAATGAAGGCTACGTGGACCTGAGAATTGATCGCATCTTGAGAAGGTGTTGTGTTATCACCCTCACCTTCTTTAACTGGTGCTTGTACCTTTCTCTTTGTACCCTGCTCTTCTTCTGTACCCTCTGCCTTTCAGCTTCACTCAGATACAATGTACTCCTATGGTACAGTTAAAATCACATGTACTTAAGCCATTTTGACATACATTTGCATTGTGAATGATAAATGTGTATGCATAATTTTCTTTGTCTTTTCTTTTTCTGGTGTGAGAACGCTTGAGATGGATCTTCTTAACAAATTTTAAGTATATAATATACTTTTTAAGTATATAATATACTTATTGTTAACTAATTGTTAACTAAGATCATATTGCTATTACACATTAGATCTCTACAACTTACTCCTTTTGCAAAGCTGAACATTTGTACCCTTTGAACAACTGCTTCCTGTGTCCCAACTCTGTTGTGGGTTAGCATCATTTCCCCCTCTGTTTTTGTCAATTTCAGTATTTTGGACTGTAGTTGTAAGTGGGATCATGCATTATTTGTCTTCCCCTGGCTGACTTATTTCAAGTTATATTATCTGTGTTTATCCAGGTAGTTGTGAAATTCAGACAGTTCTTCTTTAAATATGTATAATATTTCCACTCTGCATGTATCACATTTTTTGGGGGGGGAGGGCGATGTGGCCCCAGGCCGGGCTGACATGGTGGAGGCCAGGCTTATGGGAGCCCAGGCCCTTTTTTTATTTTTGTCAGTCGTGGGGCTTAAACTGTGGGCCTGAGCACTGTCCCTCAGCATTTCAGCTCCAGGCAAGCGCTCTACCACTTGAGCTACAATGCCACTTCCCTTTTGTTTTGTTTTTGTGCGGTTTTTTTTTTTTTTTGCCATGACCATTTTCTGTCCTCCCTCCCTCCCTCCCTCTCTTCCTTCCTTCCTTCCTTCCTTCCTTCCTTCCTTCCTTCCTTCCTCCCTCCCTTCTTTCCTTCCTTTTCTTTTGCAGGGTGGTGGAGGAAAGAAACATGCTATGTTAGGGACTGTGCTGCTGCTTCTGCTTCTGCTTTTTCTTCTTCTCTCATCCTTCTTCCTTCTTCCTTCCTTCTTCTTTCTTCTTTTTCTTCTTTTGCAATAGGGCGATTTTCTATTATAGGCTGGTTTGACAGCCTTTAAAGATGTAAAGTTACCATTAGTGGATGAATGTATATGAGCCATAACTCACTATTTACAAAGGAAGGAAATACTGTCATATGTGACTATGAGGAGTCTTTCCCTTTTTTTGATGACATATGTATGAAATTTTATTTATACTCATTGTTGGCTTTGGATATAACATTCCTCAGATAATCAACATATTAATACAGGAAATATTTATTTCTGAAAGTTATTTAAAGGCAAGGTATTTCTATTTCTGAATTGCATATGATTCATATAGTTCTTTGTATTTGTTTATTTAATTTTTTTTTACCAGTGGTGGGGCCTGAACTCTGGGCCTGGGTGCTGTCCCTCAGCTCTTTAGCTCAAGGCTAGTGCTCTACCACTTGAGCCACAGTGCCACTTTCTATGAGGAATCAAACCCAGGGCCTCAAGCATGCAAGGCAAGCACTCTACCACTGAGTCACCTTCCCAGCTCTAGTTCTTTAAAGATGTATTATTTTGTGCTAATCTCTGTATCTGAATTCTTTTTATCTAAGATCAGAGATTAGCATCTTTTATTTATTCAATAAATGTGACATACAGATAGCATATTAGAAGACATATATTATAATTCGTGGAAGCTTTAATCGATTAAAAACTAACACGAAACAGAATGCAAACATTGGATGGATCTTGCATTTTGATCCAATCTTCTGTTCTTCTTCTTTTGACTGGGAAATTGAGCCTATTAACATTTAAGGTTATTATAGCAAGATTTATCATGTTTCTTGTGAACATTTTCTTAATTCCCTATATTTTGTATTTTTCCTCTTCTGTCTTTACTAAGTTGATCTTCTCGTGGTTTTCGTCTGATGTGTTTCTTTGATTTTGATTGTTTAGCTCAGACTGTATTCGTCCCTTTAGAATTCTTTGTAATGGTTTAATGATCATGAATTCCTTTAATTTACATTTGTCATGGAAGGTTTTGGTTTCACCATCTAATGTAAATGATAACTTTCACTAATCAGTCTGAGTTGGCAGTTGTTGATTTTTAGAGCTTGGATTATAACATTACAGGCTTTCTTTATATTGAGGGTTTGTACGGAGAGGTCTGCTGTGATTCTGATTTTCTTTCCATTATAATATAGCTCCTTCTTTAATTTTGTGGCATTTAAAATCAGTTCCTTGCTATTCACATCTAATATTTTTTACTATGATGTGTCTGTGTTTTATTCATTCATAAATTGATGGTTATTTAGACAGTACCCTTATTTGAGCTGGTGTGAATACTGCTACGGATAATAAGAGTACAGTTATCTTTTTGAGATACTGATTTTTATTTTGGATAAACATAGGGATTACTGGATCAAAATGTAGTTCTATTTTAAAATTTCTGAGATACTTACATACTGGTTTGTATATGGCTCTTCCATTTACACCTTCCCCATAAGCACACAGAGTCTCCTTTGCTGCTTTTCTCTGCATACTTTATGAACTTTTGGAAAGTATTATTCAAATAAATGGAACATGACACTCTATCTGGCTTGGCTTTGCATATCCCTGATGGATTGGCAAGACTCAGAACCTTTTAATATATTAGTTGGCCACTTCTATGTTTCTGTGTGTCCTTTTATGTTATTTACTTGCTATGTTTTAAACTTCCTCTTATATATTTTGGACACTAACCCCTGACTTTGTCCATTTGTACTACTATGCCAAAATACTAAACTATATACAAAGAAGGTACATGTTTTCCTTACAGTTCTGGAGGCTAGAAAATTCAAGATCAAAGAAAGTTCCAACAAATGATCAAGGCCTTCTTGTCAGGACCTGATGCATCAGAAGGTGAAAGGACAAAATGACAAGTGCAAAATCCTCATAGGAACAAAGAGTAATAAGCTAGCCATTACAGTCTGACTGTGGCTTACCTTAAATGGCCTACCTCTTGACACTATAATGATGGTAACAACTGAATTTTAGAGGAGATACATTGAAACCAAACCTTATCTGATAAATAGTTTACACATAATTTCTACCACTCCATAGTTCACTTCTTCATTCTGAGTGTTTTGTTTGCTATGCAGAAGTTTTTTGTTTGATGCAATCCCACTGATCTGTTTTTACTGTTATTGCCGGTGCCCTTTGAGTTATATTCTAAAACTTGTTGGCCAGACCAATATTAAGAGCTTTTTCATGTTTTCTTCTCATAGCTTTATGGTTTCAGACTTCATATTGATGTCTCTGATTTGCTTTGAGTTGGTATTTATTTGGATGTTGTAAGAGTGCAATCCATTTGTCTGCATGTGAGTTCCTCCCTCCCTTTCATGAAACTGGATGTTACTAAATGTTAAGAACACTTATTTAAAGTTGAAGAATCTCATTTATTTTTATTCCAACTTCAGTTTCTTCTTCTAGTTCAAGTATATTTTATTGAACATCTTGATGCAAATCACCGACAATAGAACATAGGTAATCCTAATCATAGCTTAGTTACAAGGTTCACTGTTAAGGAAGCTCAAAACACTGATAATTACTTTTTCCTAAGGGAAGGTTTATGTGGTAAATCTCAGCTCTATCTGACCGAAGATTCCTGCACAATGGCCTTTGGTTTTGTCTCAATTTCTATGCTGCTGACTAGTGTAGAATTGGATGGGCCACCATTTATTGCCTTTCAAAGGAGCAGTATGGGATAGCAGTGACTCACACCGTGGTCATCCATGATAAGGACAGCCCAGATTGATAGGGTCTTTCCCATGGTGAGCCTAACTGACAGCTACAAAGGGGAGTGGGGTGCATCCTCATATGGCCCTGCTTCCAGGTTGAGCTGCCAGGGCCACTTGATGGAGCAGTCCCCAGCCATGACATGCTGCCTTTGGCAAGACTCCTGCTCCTTTCTTCCTCTAAGCTCTTGGACTCTAGAGATTGCCAGCCCTCCTTTTTCTCTGTAAATCTACCACTGGCTATAGAGTAAGATCTCTTAGCTTCCTCTTAACCATGTGAAATCTTTCCATCTAGGCAGGCAGACTTGACTATGAAGCCTTTTTCCAACATAAGGACTTATTCCAGATACTAAGATCTCTAAAGCAAGCTGGTGCATCTGTAGTCATTCTTCCCATGTCTGGTGAGTGATTAAATGTCATCCATGTAAAAACTTAGCAGGGCTTTCCAAGTAGGGGACACCAAAAGCGATAGCATTACAGCATTGTGTTTAAGTACTTTTCTCCCCTATAAATGGACTTTTCCAGAACAGAGATTGTGTCCATGTCATCTTTGTAATCAGAGTTTCCTAGCCAGTCTGTGTGTGTGTGTGTGTTTATATAGGATGTGCATGTGACACAAATTGAGATAAAAGGCCACTTGACATTCTAACTTGCTTATACATTTAGATAACATCCTTAGAATAATTATAGTATAAATATGGCTATTAAAACCTTTAACTCGTTAAAGATTTTTCCTCTTATCATAATGGAAATGTTTATAAGTTTAATATTTTCTTGATAGTTGGGTCATCACAAGTCCCAGACAACAGGAAAGGAGACTTCTGATCTGTGAACTTGAGAGTGTACATTCTGAAACAATTTTCGATTAAAATAATGAAAGAAGAGTAAATGCTTTAGGATAGCTGATCCCTCAGTGGCTACTGGTTTGCTGTTGGCTATTCCATGTCCTAATTTCAGTTCACAACTCTCTCCATATTTAGATTTTTCATAGTCAGGAACTTGGATGATAGCACTGATTCAGATTGGAAATTCAAGAGAGTGGGCTGGGAGAACCAGTTTTTAAATGATTAGTATATAGTTTATTTGTATTGGTTTATATCAGTTATGCAAGTAAGGATTTCATTGTTACATCTTTGCATATATTAATGCTGTTTTACGATCAGTTTCACCCCTACCCATATACCCTTGTATGTTCTAAGAAATAACATCCGTAAGAGGTTTCTGTGTTCTCTTTCCCTATCTGCAGACAGTCTGATTCGATAGAAGTTAATCTTTATTATCCTCCCAGGCACAGACCCTTCTGCTAGTCCCCACCCTCATAGAGTCTGTTTCTCTTCCCTCCAATCCCCTATTGACCATCAGCTTTTGTTCACTTTCTCTCTGTGCTTTCATATGTGCTTATGTTAAACAATTATTCACCCTCTTCCTTGTTCTGTTCTCCCCTCTCCTCCTGAGTAATGTCCTAGTTTGATTCATGCTCTATATTTAACCATCTAAGTGATTGTTAAATATAGATATTTATCCTGATGTACATGTTTATGAGTATGAATGTCTTTTAGGTCTAGTTGGCACATGTAAATGAAAGCATATGATATCTTGATTTTTGAGCTTGACTTTGTCTCATTCAGTAGAAATTCCTCTAGTTGCCTATATGTTCCTGCAAATACCATGATTTCATTTTTCTTTATGGCTATGTAATATTTCATGGTATGTATGTGTATATATGTATATATGTGCATATATACATGTATATATATGCAACTCTGTCCATTGATCTATTGTTGGGCACCTTGGTTTATTCCATCGTTTGGCTATTATTGGGAGAACCAGTATTGGGAAGATAAAACCTATAACTTTTGTTACTTTTCAGTTGCAGATACTGAGAAAGTATGCGGGAGATGAAGGTGAAGTGGTGTCTGGCAATATCCAATACGAGATCATAGAAGCTGAGGAGTAGGAGATGCTGTTTGAAGTCATTTGCAGGTATTAGAAGTCATTCTTTCTGGATGTGTGTTCCTCTCCACTGTACATGCACTATTGCTTGACTGGTAAAGAAGTTTACAGAAGTCTCCAGAAGCTGAAAACACTTCCCTGTGGTACTAGCCAGGAACATAGGCCTTGAAGCCAGTTCCTCACACGACGAGCTCCTCAGGGCTCACTACTGGGTCCTGAGGACAATCAGTGAGGGGGGCTTTGCCTCTGTCCAACTGGCAAAGCACCTGCCTACAGACAGCCTGGTCGCTGTGAAAACCATCAACAAGAAGAATTGCCCCTCCGTTTACACAGAATTGGACATCTTAAAGTCTGTGGAGCACCCTAACATCATCAAACTCTACGAGGTGGTAAAAGCGGAGCAGCAGTTGAATTTGGTCATGGAGTACCTCGAGGGAGGAGACTTAGCAGACTGCGTGTACAAGGTGGGCAGGCTGAGGGAGCAGGAGGCCAGGCTTCTCTTTAGGCAGATCATGAGGGCGGTCAGATATTGCCACGACCATGGCATTATTCACTGGGACCTCAAGGCAGAAAACATCCTGCTGGACAGCCAGGGCACAGCTAAGCCATGCGACTTTGGTCTCAGTATGCGGTTCCAGCCCCAGCAGGAGCTGGACGGGTGGTACAGGACAATGGCCTATTGGCCCCCTGAGATGATCAAGCAGCAGAGATACCAGGGTCCCAAGGTGGATGTCTGGAGCTTGGGGGTCCTGCTCTACTATATGGTGATGGGTGACGTGCCGTTTAACGACAGTTCCTGGTTTCTACTAAAACACCGGGTATTAGGGGGTAGGTTTATAATGCTAAACAGTTTTCCGCTGAACTGTGAGGTATCTTAGGGTATCTAATGACACTTGACCCTCAAAAGAGATCTGCTGTGAGGCAAGTGTTGTGCCACCCTTGGTTAAAGGCAATACAGGCACGCTCACCACGCCCCAGCCAGAGTGTCCTGGCCCAGCCAGATCCCGCCATCCTAAATGTCATGGCCTATTTCCTGGGTTTTGACCCAGACCAGGTTGGGGCAGCCCTGTCTGGCTCCATGGCAACATACAAAATCCTAAGGCAGCAGCAAGACCAGGGCCAAGACCTGACAGGCCTGGGGAGGCATGCACTTCCTGCGCCTCTGCCTCGCCCCTCACCTGCACGCAGGACTGGCCAAGCTCTGCACTTGAAGCAAGCCAGTGCTCCCTTGGGCTACCGGGCTGTAGGCTTGCCTGCTGAGCAGCAGCAGGAGGGTGGTGGCAGGAAAGGCAGGATGTCTGTGTGCCTGCCCTACCTCCTCTGGAGACCCCGCATCACCATCATAGAGGAGAAGAGTGAGGGCAGCAAGGCAGCAGCAGCAGCACCAGTAACAGCAGCAAATATACTCCCTACAGCCATCACAGTGAAATGACACTCCCTGCCCCTGAGCAGGAGAGGCAGGTGGGCAGCAGGCCCGACTCTCCAACCTATATTATACAACACCTGGGTATGGATCACAAAGAGGAAGAGGAAGATCAGCTCTGTTGCCCCATGTCCAAAAACATCTGATCCCAGCGGAAAGGACAAAGGGGAAGATGAGGAGAGCAGCAAGCTGCCCACCTCACAAGTCCTGCACCTGTCGAAACCTCCCTACCATCGGCTCAACCCACAACAGCCACAGCAAATGAGCAACTCGGGCTGGAGGCACTGGAAGAACAATATCACTAGTTGCTTTTGGAGCCTATACTGCTGTTGCAGCCTGCCTAAAGTGCTTCCTCAAGAAAGTGTTTCCTCCTGACAGCCTGGAAACAAG